CGGCCCATTTATGGAATGTATAGAAGAGGACTTGGAGTAAATAGTGGCACTGATCCTGTCGAGATCGAAGGCCTCATTTTTTCATAGATAGCCTGAAACGGCCTTTGCCAGAACTTTTGCCGCACCCTGTATAAAGGTGGAGCTTCAGGCAAAGATATTGTCGACAACCACAAACTGATCACAAGAAAAAAGTGCTATATATCGTCACAATGTTTCCATTCATTTTATGAGGTGACGATTAGAGTAATTTCTTGGAAAAAGTAGTTATGAGTTGTGCCATGATGTTTTTGCATACCTCAGTACGAACCGACCCTAAAGTGCCAACTGACGAGCAGTATGGTCGACATGGTTCATCTCCCTAGGACGGATAAGACGGTTCTAGAGAGAAGCTGGATATACAGATTAACAAAGGCGTTTCACAGTTCGCTCATTGGATTTCGCCACGATAAGCAGTTTGAAACCGCATGAACGATTTTCGCGAAGTCATTCACGTTCCTTCAGTCACGAAGCCGGCGCATAAGCTGAGCAGCTTAATTTCTTGAAAAAAAAACCAACTTAGGAAAAGGAGAGGGTTCGTAGGGCACACATTGCAAACTGCCGCATGAGCCTGGCGAGCACCGGTTCCCTTCTCACTAGTGGGTGACTGCGCAGTTAGCGAGTACATGGTGCGACGAAAATTCGAGTACACCTATTCAAAAATCGCAGTTTGATATTTGCTTCTCGCTGAGGGTAAGAGATTTCGTGGGCGTACTGAATTAGTAACCCTATGTTCGAGTCGACTGGACGAGTCCAGCAATGGTCGAATTACACCAATCCAGTACGACGAAGGTCTACATCTCCGTTCGGCTCGGGAAACTGCCGGACAATCGCCAACAAGTTCAAAACATTTGGAAGATCGAGATCGTCCAGGTTAGGTACACAACTAACCGTGACAATGAAGTCGGCTGAAAACCAAAATCGACAGCGGAACATACTGTACAAACCGTCATGGATGGTTAGAGTTGAGACCCTCATATTGTGCAAGAAGCTACTCTTTCGTACAGAAACAAGCAAGCACACTTGATGTAGGGCGCAATTTTAGCTGTAAGACACCGACAAGAATCCGTTAGGGATCCGCCTAGCCAGGAAGGAAAATCGACACGGAATTCCACTCGAAAACCATTTTTCAGGCCAACCTGCTGTCTCCAAAAATATTTCTTAGACATATCAGTAAGACATCGCACAACCCCACGGTACCAAAATTGTTCAGCATTGGTGCTGAAACCATCTATCAACTTTCATGGCTGTTGAGAATTGGTTTCCGGACCTTGTTCCCGTGGACTGTGCAGTATGCGGTTAACTGGAGCAGAAATCCTGTGCTACTCTGCATTCCAAGTTGTAGTCACTGAAGAACGCCTCCGATGGAGACGAGAGAATCGTGTCGATCAGCTTGTCCATAGATCTATTCGCTTCCGAAGTCAAAAAGAACCGCTATTCGGGAGGCCGTATCGAAGCATGAAGGTACCGTGCTGCTGCAAATTGCTTGGAGGTTTTTATAGGCTCCCACCTTGTTTATCACACTATTACAAGATAAGGTTCCCAAAACTCTACGACCTTCCTACGAATTTCTTCGCACATCTAGGCGGCAACTCACCAATGAGAAATAAGGGAAAGCTTGCAAGGCTCGGCTATTTCAATATGTGCTCAACGAACCCATCTTTTCAGATGCTATTCTTTCCGTACTGTTTACAGANGTTCAGCAAATCGGATCGCTGTGCTGAGCACTCGCGGCATCGCCAACTGTGCAGTATGAGATTGGATGGCTTCGTTCGTTCTGTGAGCACAGTTTCACTAAGGGAATTTAGTCGCAAAGTTCTACTGCGATTAATTCCTTTTTAGCGATTACACAGCTACCGTTTGATCGTGAATCAGTGCTCTTCACTCTACAAAGGAAAATTACACGCCGAAACCTTTCTTCACGAGGAAGCATAAACTCATAGCGGTATAGCGGCGGGTCAACTTCGTTCGACGTTTGTCGTGATGCGATCTGATCGGGGATCGGAAGTACGCAACAAATAACGTCTCCTTGAATGTCCACATAATGAACTCATTTAGGTTGATGCCGTCGTGACCGAACCTCGTCCTTTTTTCCTGGAATAGGGTGCTCCGATATAGTCGTGTAGCTGTGCATCCCGCTTGTTGTCTTTTCGTCTGCAGGAACAGGGACATGTGAGGACGACGAGGATGGGTCAACTTCGTTCGATTTCTGTCGTGAGGCGATCCAAGCGAGGATCAGAAGTACGCAACTACAAACGTTCTCTTGAATATCCCCTTACTTCGCTCATTCAGGTTGACTCCATCGGGACCGAAAACAGCCCATTTTTTGGAATAGGGCGCTACGACATATTTATGTAGCTAAATATCCTGCTTGTTGTTTCCTCGTATGCAGGAACACGACTGTATGTAGGACGACGAGAATGGATCAACTTCGTTCGACGTCTGTCGTGAGGCGATCTGAACGAGGATCAGAAGTATGTCATCACCAAAGTTCTTTCTGATAAACACCTCTTCATTGTGCTCATTCAGGTTGACTCCGTTCTTCTTATCGTGGACGGCCATTTTGTCAAGAGAATTCGATATGCTCGTGTTGTAGCTGTGAATCTCGGACGTAACGACATTCCCTCGACTCGCATTAGGATTAAGGAGGAATACTTCAGAATTAGCGGAACCGGGACTGGTTCGCCGCGAAAGTGTCTCGGTAAGGAGGCTTATAGTCCTCGTGCGAAATCTGATTGAAATCGTGTATGACCAAGTTCTAGAAGAACACACAAACATCTATTTTCTTGAGCTTTATTTGTCTTACGACTTATCTGGTACTTACGAAATTTGTCTGTGGAACTTTACATCAGTACATCTGAATGTTTAGGTCACCGTCAAAAATCCAACCGGAAGGCACGCAGCCGCCTATCCTTTAAATGGGCGATCCGATTAGGGATCAGGGGTATGTCGCCAAATGTTTCCTATGTTAACTTTTTACTCAAATTTGATAATTCAGATAGTTTTGGCTCGCACCTCGTCACTAAGACATCTTCGGCGGCCATCATCGAAACCGAAGCCGTACCAGGAAGGATTCATCCGGGAAAAAACTGCTGGACCAGTACGAATCAATCCAAAAAAGTGCCTCTCCGGTGGATAGCGGCGAATTCTTGGCGTCTCAGCGAATGACATATGGTTGAGGTTTGTTAATTTGACTTTTTGCGAGCGCTTCAATTTCCTGTTTGACTGTTCACTTTGCAGAAGGCGCGTTTCGACAGCCGAGAGCCACCGGGGGCCATCACACGACGTCGTCAAAGTGATCTGATTTTGATCTTAAGATCTACAGGTGTGATTGATTGAAAGTGTAGGCACCTAGCTTTTTTGAGCTAATTTCTTTTGTTCTGTTCGATTTCAAACTTTTTGTTAGTGTAGGTATCAGTAGGTAACTCTTTTTTCTTTGTATATGCTTTGCTGCTTTGTTAGTGTAGGTAGTCAATAGGTAACTCTTTATTCTTTGTATATGCTTTGTTGCTTAAGGGGGTTAGTAACTATTTGGGAATAGGGGTTTGAGCTTAGCAATAATGATTAGTTATTAAGGGGCCAGGATAGGGTAATTTAGTGTCCCTAGGTGTCTACACTTGTCATTCACCCTGTACTGCCCACCCTAAGTTTACCCATAGTACACAGAAGGCTAATGCCTTCTGAAGAATTCATCCCCTTCCGCAATGAATCCCTGCGCTGTTTCCTGCCGATGGACTCGACTCAACGGCGTCCTCAAGGGCGACGAGCCTCGTCAGTGTGCCGGTAGCTTGCTTTCGAATTGGGACTCGACTCAACGGCGTCCTCAAGGGTCGACGAGCCTCGTCAGTGTGCCGGTAGCTTGCTTTCGAATTGATCTCTCTTCCAATGTAATCAAAGACAGTTCAATGGTGGCATGCGCTCCGTCAGCTGCGCCCTCGAAGCAACCACTGTGAAAGGGAACGCTCCGAATCGTCTAGACGTGCAATCTGCCTACAAGGAGCGGCTAAGTTGGGTTTCTCCCGTCTGCCGAGATCATGAAAACCACTCAATGTCGACCTCTACGGGACCACAAGACTACGCACATGATATCGATCTCTCGAACAACCGAGAAAGAGCACAGATAGGAATTTCAAGCTTGGACCTTTAGCGTAATTGTCGTAATTAATTTGGAAGGCACAGTTCACGATAATTCTCGGGTAGTTTCTTTGTATCTAAAAGCGGGAGTATTATTGGGGAATAGTGCATCGCGTGGGATGGGTATTTGGACGAGATTGTAGTTGTTGCAACTGCGCTGAGAGGTGACCACATTAAGCCAAAACTGTCCGGAGTTGTCTTCCACTGTCCTATGGGTAACGATAATTGTTTGAATTCCCTACTTGGGCCCTTTTAAGAATGGGGCAGCCTCTACAATACCGTATCTCGCCCGCGCATACACATGGGACAATCTTTTAGCCATCATGACGCCCTTTCTAGGATGTTTTCCGATCTGACAGCCACATATATAGTAAACGAGGGGGTCACATCATCCTCGGGTGATATATAAAAGCCACTTTTATCGTGAATTGTGCCTTGAGTCTAGATCTTTTGTGCGAGTATTCCATGGGTTTTATTACGATTGCTGGTGAAGTTTTCAGTTGTCTAGGCTGCCGATAGTGTTTGAGTATCGGTTGAGATAGCCGCTCTTAGAGTTTGTGGTGATAACTGTTGCGATTACTGCACGTTTGATGTATTTGATTGCAGTACGAGAACGATTAGTTACGGGTCACTGTGAAAACCTGGGAAATATCCAGGGTAAACGTTGTGACTCGAGTGGGGTATTTGCACTCTCACCCGTCCGTCCCAAAAAAAATTAACTTTGTAACGGAAAATGGGGAGCCCGCTGAAAACGCTGTTTTTCCATTGCAGTAGGGTGTGCTGGGAGGGAGTGAAGGCATTTTGACATTTTGTGTAGTACGATTTCCGCGCAGATCCTGGGTATTTCAACTTTCTTGTGCAAAAAAAAAACGGTTGGGGGACTTTAGCAAACAAATGTGAAATCGGTGCCTTTTGTTCAGTCAAATCTTTCGCTGTAGCCCGAGCAGCAAAATCCTTGAAATTGGAGTTATCTCTTCGGAGTTAGTCGCAAGCTTTGGTAGTTCCAAAGGAGCGGGCTTTTTGCCTGGCTCAAAATTAAATGGGGAGTCATTCTTCGCCGTTGAAGGCTAAGCCACGTAAATTCTGAGCAGAAGAGCCTGTAGAGATCATTCAGTCTTGAGCACTATGGAAAGGCTTTTAAGTCGTGCAAAGGCTATTTCATGGCTCCTACTCCACGATTTTTCAAAGATTCGTGCTGCCGATTTGGTCCCAGTGAGCATTCTTGTGTCTGACTTCTTGAATACTTTGCCGAAGTGTTCGAGACTCCACGCCAACCCAGTCTCAGTTGTAGCTTGTGCTTCTGGACAAATAATTTCTTCCAGGAATTCAGGAGTAACTACGTGGAATTTCATTTGAATGGTGAGTTGCTTCGTTCTTGTCTCCATCTCTTCAGAGAATGTTATCATTATATATCATTGGCGTTAGGATGAGCTAACGAGTATTCCATCGATCGAATTCCTACTTGATATCGATTTCGCTTTTCAGTAAGCTGAGCTTTTTTTTCTGGAAATGTTCAATTATTCACTTATACAACATCTAAAGACAAATTTCGATACTTTCGAATTGAACGATAGGATTTTTGCTAACGATGGCCATGCAAGTGCAGCAGATAGTAGGGAACCTGCTAACATTGTTTCTTTTTATCTTGTCTATTCTTGAGATGGTATGTTGTTCTGGCAATTCAGTCCCACCTATAATCCGTTGGTCATGCGAAATTAACGTCTCCGTTTGTTCCTGTATTAGTGGGCCACCACCAAGCTGGCGGTAGTCATGGCGTTCATTTCAGTTCTCGAGCGATCTGGTCCCTCTGGTCCAGCGGTCATCACAAAATTGCATGAAGTGTTCGGCTCACCTGGTCTTTAATTCTTGGCGTATGCAACGGTCAATTTGGGCCACATAAATAATCAATAGTCAGTATGCTTGGTTGTCGTTAGAGGATGTTTTTGGGACCACTGTGGATAGAATGGAGGCAATTGCAACTTTCACTCTTCATTGGCGGTATCGTCGGCAAAGCAGCTGTCGCTCAGTCAGCACAATTATCGAGATCAACTTCTTTCAAACTTTTCAGTTTTCAATCGAGATTTTCAAAATGCGACCGGAACAACAGGAAGACTGGCGACAACAAAGATCCGGTTTTCAACGAAATCTCCAGATGAATAGCAGAGTTCGCGGTCTAACTAATTTGGTTCTTAGTTTAGGATGGGCTGGTTAATCTGTCGCAATTCAGTTTTCATCGTGCTAGATATTGAAATGGGAACGTCGGTGTGGCAGTTCGGATCATCGAGCGGTGGCATTAAGCAAAAAGNGCGGAGGACGTCTAATCTGAACATATATGGAGATCAACTGGATTTTTTGCAAAACGCGATTGGAGCGAAAGGGGGACTGGCGACACTTTACTTCTGGTTCTTCGCAATGCACAGCTCGCAATGTGTCCAATTCGGTCCAAATCTTCAGATAGGATGACTGAGTTGTCTTAATGATGGAGTTTTTTGCTTATCATTCAGTTCTTGAAGCATGGAAAAATGTCCTGGAAATCCGAAATTCATGGTCAATCAGCAGTCAAAATGCTCGGTCGAGTTTCTTGGACTCTGTGGATGAATGAAGACCGCAACAATACTCATACTCTCCTTGACGGTGTCATTGTTAAAGTAGATGAGAATGATGTTAGATTTGAACGATTTGAAGATCAACTGGATGTTTCAAAACGCGATTATTCGAAGGACTGGGGACACCATAGCTCGCCGCTTGATTAAGGTCATATCCACTCATATCCACATGGGCTGACTAGGCTTAATGGGTGCTGTAGAAATTCTCTCATCTCTCAGTGAACTGGATAAAGCTCTGGAACGAGTAACGGCTAGGAAGGAAAGTTTTGCCATTTTGGCCATCGTAGGTGGAGGAGTCTTCCGTGATTTTCGATAATCGCAAAATGCGAGACTGGAGAATCGATCATGTGGGAGCACGTTTCACCGGCAACGTGAATAAAGTGTAGTCGAATCAGAAAAGTAGCAGTGTTGAGTCAGAGGGCCGATAACTTGCGGAACAGTGGATATTTGAGCTGGTTGTTCAACTTTTCCATCTCAAGAGTCGACAAGATATTAGAAACTGTAAAATCCGATTTGCGATGAAAAAATGTAGCTTTTAGCGATTGTGTCCCTAGCTGTGCCAAATTGTAGAGTGGATCCCTGTTAAATCAGAGAATTAGCACGCAAACTATACTTTGATCACAAGACTGCGGTTTTCCGAGAAACCGACTGAGATCTATGAATATTCTGCCCTTTCGCTTAAGTCTGTGGGCTACGTCTTGCGCCACGCTCAACCACCTTGGTGGGGTTAGCGTTCTTCTCGTGTATACCAGACCATGGGGAGCTTATCATCCATTTGCGATATTCTAGCCTATCCGTAGAGACCGCTGTCTGAATTGACTTCTATTGCTCTTGCTTTCTTTGTCCTCGTTTTTTCGGCTAATTTTTGGGGGCCGTAAACACTATGAAGCCTTTTTTGCTTTGACTCTATTTTCGAAATCTCCATCGAAAGTCTAGCTCAATTCTGTGCAAATCTACATCCTAGAAATGTGGCGTAGTTGCGATATTTTAATGCAGCCCTGGTTGTTGGATCGTTGAGTCACAGGGCAGTGGATTGCGGGGGTCACTACGGCCTTTCGAATAGCATTCTTTCCAATCCCTCATAGTGCAGTATGGACGTCTCCATTGCTCCCTTGAGCACTTCCGGTTCCCACTGAGAACTCCTCTTTCGATTATTCCTTTGATGAAGTTCCTGACCTTCAATGTCATCTTACTATCACATAAAATCGGGCTTGTTTTTCACCAGTGCGCTATTTCCTTCTCTCTTCCCTACGAACTGAGGGAGGTGCTTAATGACAGCAACTTGCAGAAAAAACTAAACGTTCGCTCGCTCACCTTAGCACAATTCTCCCCTCCCGTTTCTGTAGTCGCTGCAACGTAGCATTAGCATCTGTAATTGAATTCAAATTTGTTAAAATTT